CGTTCGCCGGCGGTGTCTCGGACCCACGGGCATCCACCAAATAATAATAATGATGAGGGTGAAAAGCCTCGGAAGATATCCGCAATCAATCGATCGATCTCGTCGAGAGAGAGCGAGACGAGCGATCCCAAACCTGGAAATTGGAGGTCGTTGTGCAGTGGAACGTGGATGGAGGATGGAAGCGGGATGCACCCGCAGGGTATGGTACCGTACTCGTACTCGTACTCGTATGTATCGTATCTAAAGTCCATACCGTATTTGGCCACCGATCGTCGATCGGTGGTTCGGAACCATCGATAGTGACTCGATGAATCTATCTAGTCCCGTATTGCGAACCGAACGTGCTCAGTCGTGAGGAACGGGGCGTGCAGGCGTGTCTTCGTACGACCGARGATACGAACGTACGAAGGACCCCCTGTTGGTTGTCGTGTATGTCGTGTATGCCGCSGGGGAACAGCGCCAAACTGAACCCGCAACGCGCAACAGGACAGGAAGCCTATTTCGATTTCGAAAACCGAGGAGAGTTCGTACGAGTACGAACAGGTACTCCCACTCGTACTACCTGTACTCGTAGTTTCTATGAGTTCCTCTACGTACGTAACAGTATGTACTAGGCTACAATGCGATGCGGCAATGATCAATGCAATGATCCGTTTGCGAACTAGCAAGGGCATCACGCTTTCGTCTTGCGCTAACGTACCGTACCGTACCGTACCGTACAGTATTGTACAATCCAAGGTACTGGTACCCGTACCCGTATCGCACCACAACAATTCGTTTGAATTCCGTGTCCCCAACGCAGTGCATCCCGATAGTCTACAAAGTGGTACAGACAGAGAAGTGCGCACCAAGGCATCCATCCATCCATCCACGGCAAAAGCCCCAATCTCCGCTCCCCGCAGCAAACACAAACCAAAGACAGAAAGGCCCGAAGCGCAACAAAGACAAAGACCCGCAACGCAACGCAACGCAACGATGGTGCGAATGTCGGTACTGACCTTCGACCAGACCTTCGAAACGGCGATCGCGGTTTCCGCGACGCTGATCGTCCTGTCCGCGGCGTGGATCATCCGCGTCCTGATCCAGATCGAAAAGTCCAAGGCGGTCGCCCTGGCCTCCGTCCTGGAGGACGACGGAACCTCGGGAGACCTGGAATTCGAGGAATCGACGGCGGAAGCGGGGGCCATCGAGATGTCCCCCACCCGGACCAGCGGCCCCAAGGAGGASGACGCCGAGGCGGCKGGCGGGGCACCCYCGCCGCCGGCTTCCCCCGACGCAAAGCCGGTGATCGCCAGGAAGGTCCGGCAGAGGCAGCGCCGCATCACGTGGATGTTCCTCAACGTCCAGCTCGCGAGCGTCGGGGTCCTCGTCCTGCTCACCTACCTGCTGCTGGTGGCCAGCAACGCCCCGGTCTTTCTGCGCATGCTGGGCTCCATCTGCGTCTTTGGCGTCTTTTTGCGCTACCAGATCGGGGACGAGATCCGTCGCCAGCGGGTCGACCGCATCATGCTCCTGCTCAGCCTCTTTCTGCTCATTGCCAGCATGCTCAGCACCCTCGTCTACAGCTTCAAGACCCTGTCGCAGGGAGAGATCTACGAGGGACCCGCTCGCATCGTGGGATACGACCTGGAACAATACAACAACACCARGCACGATCCCACGACCCGRACGGACATCGAGGTCAGCTGGGGCAAGGACTGGGGCTGTCCCATGAGCGGCGGCAAGGTCTGCCAGGCAAAGATCCAGGGGGCCCTGTGCCAGACACACCCCGACAAGGAACAGACCAAGCACAAGCCCCACTACGACAACACCCGGCGGCGACGCCGGAAGCAGCGAAGGCTCGAGGACGCCCAGAAGGAGGACAACGACAAGGAAAACGACAATGACAACAAGGCCGACGACAAGGACAAGGCCGAGGAGAACGACAACGACCAGGAGGAGGCCGAAGATAACCAAAAGGACGACGAGGACGAGGAAATAGAGGAAGCACTCGAGGAGGACCTGGAGGACGAAGAAAAGTCCAACCAGGAGCTCCAGACCGARAACGAGAACCTGGCGGAACAAAACAAGGAACTCGAGAAAGAAATCGAAGGTGAGTTTGCGTGCGTCTTGGCTGGTACYGGTTTGCAAAAGCGTTTGGCGGCAGTCTTTTCGGAAATGAAATCGGAAGCACCGTGCCTCACACTTGTCTCAAACGGTTGATTGACTGACTGATTCATTTATTCATTCATGGATTCATTTTTTCATGGATTCATTCATATATTCATTGATTGCCCTCCCAACAAATTCCAGAACTCAAGGAAGAAAACGAGATCGAGGACGAAGAAAACCAGTCTCTCGTGGACGARGAAAACTCGGAGATGGACGAAATGGCGGACGAGTACAACGAAGATATCATGGTCGTGGAAGAGGAAATGTACGAGGACGCCCAGGATTACGAAGACGCCGAGTACAAAGAAGAWGAGGAAGCCCTGGAGGACAAGATCGCGGCCGCAACCGACGACGACGTCAAGGACGACCTGAACGAAAAACTCGTTGAAGAGGAAAAAGAACAAGAAGAGTTGGACGAAGAATACGAGGAGGTAAGCCCTTTRTGTTGTTGGTGGCGGTGTTGGCTGCTGTTGGGTCGGGACAAGACGGGTGCAACGGTGTGGCCAACGGTCTGACCAATGGTTTTATTTTGTTTTGTTTTGTTTCCGTTTGATGCATGCTCCCTGCCATTTYAGGACGAAGAACTCCTCGACGAATATGCGGACGAATACGAAGAAGCTGCCGACGAGGAATACGACGAGTTCCTAGACGAAGCGGACGAGACCGATAACCTCGAAGCCGAAAAGGACGAGAAAAAAGAGGAAGCCGCAGAAACCGAGGCCGAGATCAACGACATGAAGTCGTCTTCATCCTCCTCTTCGACCTCCTCCTCGTCATCTTCAGGTACAGATGGTAAGTGCATCCCGTTGGGAAGACAATCTTGAGGGCGGGGTGTTGTTTGCTAGCGAACGTTGCAGCTGACTCTTTGTATTTGCCACTCGTTTTCCTGCTACCTATAGATGACGCAAACGAAAAAATGGCGGAAGAGTTCTACGAAGAGGAGGAGGAAGCGATCGAAGAAGAATACGAAGAAGAAGWWTACGAAGAGGAGGAGGAATGGTACTGGGACGAGTATCCAGAATACTACGACGACGATTCTTACGAAGACGATTATTGGGTAAGCATTTCTCTCGTTAGAAACACCATGTATAGGAGATTGGCATTGCAATCTGTTTTATCGAGAGCGGCTACGACGCGAGTTTATCCTTTGCCTCAATTTGTTTCGTTCCGTTCCGTTGCTTTGTCTTGCCTCCAGGATTACGATTGGGACAGCGTATGGGGTGATTACGCGTGCGAAGACTTGTTCGACTCGGACGTTGCGGGAAAAACGTACGACCTGAATACGCCGGCCGGCGGCGACGACGAATGGCCCTTTGTCAACATCTACGGGAGCTGCAAAACCTGCGAGGCCTACATTCTGGACTACTTTGCCGAAGAAGCCTTCGAAGAAACCCAGGAATTCAAGCAGCAAGCAATAGTCTACCTGGCGGGGGCCCTGGCGGGTTTTGTTTGGTCGCTCCTTTCCTACATCAAGTACCGGGTCATGCCGACGGCAGAGAACGAAATTTCTCTCATGGGATTCGACGGAGGCGTCATGGCATGAGTTTTCTCCCAGCACCGTGTCCGGGTGTGACCGGTCGAAATTCAATTACAAGATTACTGCACCCTTTCGGTTATATTGAATCCACCAGGATACAACGCATGTGGTATTGGAAAAATGCATTTACTTTAAACACATTTTATTTTACTTTCCACACCCGTCGCAYCAAAGCTCGTARCACAACACCTTAGATAAATTCTTCCGGTCGGCTCTCGGCGAGCTCGATCCGGCCCGTTGGATTGCAAATGTACATGGCGATTACGGTTCGTCCGTATTTTCGGTTGCGGATGCCGATCATGGTCACGCTTTCCCCGCTGTACACGTGCGGCAACTCCCCCCACAGCTCCACCGGGTACTCCATCAGCACGATCGTGTCTTCCTTCACCAGCGGAGAATTGGCGGTRGCGTCCAGCAGATCGGCATAGGTGACCTCTTCGTAGGGCGGGCAGATGGTCACGATGTCGAACTTCTCGCCCTCGGGCATGCCCACCGCCAGCGGCTCCCGGAGGAGCCGGAGGACGTCGGCGTTCACGATCCGCGTCGAGTACTCGGGACCGTCGAACTGGCACCAGGGGATGTTTCGCGAGATGGCCGCGCAGCAGTCCTCGGCAAGGTCGCAAAAGGTGCAGTGCTTGGCGCCCCGGCTCAGAGACTCCAGGCCCACCGAACCGGATCCCGCAAAGCAGTCCAGGTGGCGCACCGGGTAGTCGTACAGCCCGAACGAGAGGAGCGTTGAGTAGACGGCTTCCCGGACCTTTCCCATCATCGGCCTTAGGTAGACCGAGGGCGAGTCCAGGCGGCGACCGCGAGCGGTTCCGCCAAAGATCTTGAGGTTGCTCGGGTTGTTCAGGCCCGCCTCACGCGCCTTGCCCTGCGGCCGGAGTTTCGGGTTCGCCGATCCACCGGCTGGTTTGTATTGTGTTGTGTCGTGTTGTGTTGTGTTGTGTCGCGTTGTACAAGAACAAATGGCGTGGCAGTGTGCAGAAAAAGAAATTAGCATCGACCTCGTTCCACAAAAAGTTGTGTGACGATCTACACTATCGTAYGATCCAGCAACAAGAACTCACATCCCTTCGTTCTCGTGTCTTCGGGAACGATGTGCCCCAGTGGGGGTCTCTTTGCATCCACCTTCCGCTTCAGGTTGGCAGGTATCGGCGATGCCACGGCAGCGTCGAAATTCTTGTTGCTGTTTGCGGCTTTCTTCCTCCTTTCCTTCACCTTCTTTGGCTTTGCCAAGAGACGACTTTTACTTGATATTGACAATAATGATGCTGATGACGAGGACGGCAGCGGTACACCAAAGGCCCCGGCAGAAGGGATTTTCTGTACTATAGTTGCTGCCACCAGGGCCACCACTACCGTAGTCGCCACCGCGATATAAATCGAGAACATAGATCTCATTTTTGATTTGCTAAACAAGAAAGTGGCAGAAGTGAAGAATAGARGTTGGTCGTGCAGATCCCCGGTGTTGCGAGCTAGATTTGAGACAAGAACTTTTTCGAGCAATCACGGTCGACCGTACGGYACCGTAGGCATCGATGAAGTTGAGAGTGTGTTTGGAAAGAACTTCATTTCCATTGTTTTCGATTTTTTTTTGTTTTGACGTGATGGGTCGAGTTGGTAATCCTCCCGGGCGGTTCGATACCGTGCGACTGATGTACCGTGGTGCATGTTGAAAACTAATATTACCTCCGATTACGGACAGACTCAAGAATTACGGACAGACACATTCATCGTACTGTATTGTTGGAAATGTTGTTTGCTGATGTACATCAAATTTACTGCTGGAATGTACAGGAAAATTACTCAGGGATGATGATCATCTATTGTTAGATTTCTAGTAGAAATGAAAGTTGTTCATTGGTTGTTTTATACATTTACAGAAAAAGTTGGTGCAATTTGATATATCCATGGACGAGTAATTTATATTTTCCTCTTGAACCCAGGAGACAAAAGATTATCTCCTTGCTCAATCAATTGGAATCATATGGTGGTACGGTAGCCATGTAAACACTTGCCTTCAAAAGAYAGAGCACTTAGTCTAGTACTCTAATAAACATCTGTCTTGAAAATCATAAGTTACTTGTATTAATTGTATTGCTTGCAAATAATAGTATTACTATTTCTTGTTTGAACAGAACGAATCAGGTTGCAATATCAATAGATGCCGAAGCAATGAGAAATTTTTCTCATATGAATAAAATTATACTTTGCTTGGTAACAGGAGAATATTTCTCGATGGAGTTTGATTAGCTTTTCCAACTTTGAACCATGGCAGGATCTCCCCGTACCAACATAAATATTGTGCTCAGATCGCATTTATTGGATGCCGCCATATGTATGGGCATCCTGTGGCCAAATTTTTCGACCGCACTGGATGGGTTGGCCTCTAGCAAGACTCTCACCAACCGAGCATCGGCACGAGCCATCAATGCTAGATGAAGGGGTAATCGGCCAAATTTGTCTCGAGTAAAACTCGCATGGGGATTGGGCTTCCATATCCTCTCCAATACAAGGTCGACAGATCCTTCAGATCGACAATGCGAAATAGCTATATGCAGGGGAAGTCGCCCGTAGTCATCTGCGAGCTTTTGTTGTTCAGGATAGCGTTCCAGAACACAATTGAGGACGCTGGTGGTTGCTGAGCATTCCAAGGCCGCATGAACCTGATAAAAGGTTTTGTTCTGGAGGCCAAATGTCGTTGCACAATCGTCTCCTTCATCATCGTCATCTATGCYTCCCAAGCGCTGTCTCTTGYTGCCATTTTTCCCGTTCGAGGCGGAGCGTTTCTTGAAGCAAGCTTCCGTGTTAAGCACTGGGGATTTCGATCTTGGCAAACTTATGTCCAGGTCGGTAGGGAGTCGTGGMGGGGGGATAGTAGTAATGTAATTGCTCGCATCCGAAATGGAAGCWACCTCCAATGATGTTTCGCTAGCTATGCGACTCATACGGTCGCCGCTATCCCGAAATGGGAATTCTTGGGTAAGATTCGGCCGTTGGCTACAGTATATCAAGCCTCCATTTTGTTGGTGTTGTATTATAGAAAGAACCCCGTGTCCAAAAATTTGGTAGTTAACCGATTCCCCGTCAATGTTATTGTTGCTCTCGTTGTGGCCTCGACTGAAAATGCCGGAACCACTATCTTCGATGTAGCTTCGTTCCTGTGGAGATAAATTGTTAAAGTTAGCAACTGCTCCTCGCAAACAAAGATCCAATATCGGTAATTCCCAAGAGGTAACATCATCGGGATCACTAATGGTTTCCAATACCCGCTTTCCGCTTTCGGGCCAGACCCGGATCAGAAACGCGCACAGTTGCAAATTCCCGCTTCGAATGGCCGAAAAGAGGGGTATTTCGCCCCGAAGGTTGGATTTTGTCATTACGGCCGGGCAAACCTCTACCAAAAACTTGGCCATTTCCAGCTGGCCTTCCCTYGTAGCATCATGAAGCGGGTTGGACCCATCGTAATCCTGGGTTTGAATGGATTCAGGATACAATCGATAGAGGTCGCGGGCAATCTCAATGTGTCCCCATCGTGCCGCAAAATGTATAGCAATCTTTCCCTTTTTCGAGGGAAGGATGGCTCCGGCCGGATATACCCTCAGCAAGCTGCGGGCAACGGCAACGTGTCCCTCCCCCGCCGCAAAATGCAGAGCAAGCTTGCTCTTTTTCGTAAGGACAGCAGCACAGGACGGGACTATTCGCAAGAGGAAGTTGACCATCTCGGTTCGTCCTTCTCGGGCCGCGTAGTGGAGAGGAATCTTTCCCTTGGTGTTGTGTGTAAGGGCAGCCTCCCGATARCAGTCAAGCAGGAGTGCAGCGATTCGAATGTTTCCAATTGAGGCAGCAAAGTGTAGCGGAAGTGATCCATCGCTTTTGCTAGAGACCTGTGCCAAATGTGGTTGGATTGTTAGCAGACGCCGAACAATGGTCTCCAACGCTGACGCCGAGCGAAGGGGGGAGTCGCACAGAAGGCAGTTTCCATTTTCATTCGAGTTTGAACCTGAGGAAGCATGACYAGAGTATTCGTTTGCATTTTGTACTGTGCRAACAAAGTGATGAAGATATCGAAAGGAAGGATCTAATTTCTCGATTTGTGAAAGAGCAATCTTGGTGCGCTGTTCGTCTTGGGATAGAATCCCATCGAGAAGCAAGAGTAGAGGAGTATCGTTGCGATAGGCTGTTTGTGCATCCATTGTTCCGATGGTCTTCAATATTCACTTCTTCCATATAAATGGATGAAAATATGATTTCGCTTCTATTCCTCCGCTCCTTCTACTCAATCAGAATCACTACCGTGCAATACCTCTTATCCTTCACTRAGAGTGGAACGGATCGCTACCCTATATGGATGAGCAACGCCAATGGGTCCCAAATTTGACGTTGTGGTGTTCCAAATTTTTATTTCAACATGAAGCACCGGTTGTATAAKTGAAAGTGTGCGGGCATCATCAATATTCAGAAATAGTGATAAGTATGAAACGCCTCTGGGTGAGGCATGTTGCTTGCCACCGATTTTGATGTACTGTATTGAATAGTAGTAAGAAAACGTTTCAGTCTGGTCTTACTAAAACATGTCGAAGAGATAATTATAATGATCTCTGGAATTAGTCAAAAAGTAAATCGAMGACCAGCACGTGCTTGAGTGCCTAGTAGATCGCTTCATATGGCCAAGATTGATATGAAGTATTGCACATACACGTGCCSAAAAAGGGTCTACCAATAATTATCAATGCGACACATGCTGACTTGACAGGACCCCGAGAAAYTGTTCTTATTTTCACTCGATGAGACCAAAATTTTACTTAGGACGATTGGTTTCAATTCATTTTACTTATATTAATGAAACCTTACCCTAARTAAAAATATTAGGAGCTTAAGCAGTATTGAAAATTTTGTATCTCTAGTTCTTATGAATGSGACAGATTAATGCATACTATTTTACATACTCYTAGCGTAGCAGATTTGGCAAGATTGAAAAGAAGGTCCAAAACAACGTTCTTTTCGGTTCACTGAATGGTTGYGCATTCGGATGCCGTTCCGTTRCTTAAGCCTTAAATAAGAACATCCTCATCTTCTTCTTCTGCGTTCATTCGAGCACCCAAACAGGTAAGGGTACCCATTCCTAAGTCTTATCGTACTGTACCCGGGTCCAGTCCAGAGGTCATAATTTATAATTTAGGACCCCTGGTCCAGTCTACGTACAAATAATGAATGGATGCTATGGGAAACTGTTCTTCGTTCTTCTAATAATGATCCTAAAAAGTCTCGACCGGTATAGCTTCTGAGCCTCAGCTAGACGTTTTTTAGCTTCGCTTAATCTATCTTCAGCATCTTGAACACCTTTTACAATCGTCGTTCTTCGTTCTTCTAATAATTAAGGGTGCGCGATAAAACAAGCCGTTCCGATACCGTCTAAACATTTTTTGGCAAGCCCATGTTGGCATGTAGTASAGTACCGGTAGTACACTACGCGGCGACRAAMCTGCAAATTTGCAATAAAGTACAAATTTAGTCCCTTACGTGTTAAATGCATGTAGAAAACTGCACAATCTTAAGTGCAAACTTAATTGTGGTGTAAAAAAGCACCTAAGCACCCAATTAAGMCCTAGTTTACCTGAAAACCGATAGTAACCAAAATTTGGAACAGCACTGTCTAATGTGGACAAGGGAATACAGCTGCTTTATCTCATAATCCGCATGATTGCTAGTAATTTGATTAAAAGCATTGTAATTGTAGATTGTACTACTAAATAAGAATCACTATTGCTATCACCATGGAATCRTTCCAATTGCTATCACCATGGGATTTGCTGCCAGCAAAGCAGCATTGGCGCTTGCTGTTGTTGTCTGTGTTCCTGGTTCCTGGAGAGTGTCATTGCCATGGTCTAGGAAAAGYTTTTAGCAAAGGTAAGCCACCAATGGTGATCATCTTGCTCTTCAGCCCTTCTATGTTTGCTTTCYTYYTCTCATCAGCCTCCTCCCTGTCTCTTCCAGCTTCCCTCTTCTCCTGGTGGTACAGGAGATATTCTTGAAGAATAGCATCCAGTTCAGTGATTTCCTTCTTCAGCCATCCATAAGATCACTTTTTTTGCTTGAGTGACGTTGACATTCTTGGTCACAGCAAGAATGTGTTCAGATCTGTTGAAAGAAGCCAACACCACAGTCAACTCTGTGGCATTGATCYCTTTGTTGGAAGATGGAGATCTCCCCTCATCCAAGGCCTCAACATCCTCATCAAGGTAAMAACCAAAAGACCAGCAGGGACCACCACCATGGTATGAGGATGCTGAGGGGGGAGACACTGAAGGYTGATATGGAGTGGAGGATGGTGCTGGTGCGGATGCTGGTAAATGTTGATACAGAATGCTGATGCAGAATGCTGATAAGGAGTGAGTGTTAATGTGGTGGACAATGCTAATGCAACAGAGGAYACTGTGCAACACTGATATGCAACACTGATGCAGAGGATACTGATGAAGATGAAGCTGAAGGAGGACAAGGTGAGGATGGCAATGCAAAATGTTGATGCAGACAATTCTGATTTTAATACTAGGAGCTTCTGGGAAGAGCTACTGATACAGAGGATGCTTGATACAGAGGACACTTGTCACTGATACGACTTATGATGATGCTGATGTCTAAATGTGGATGCTGAGATGGATAGTAATGCCGATACGCACACTGCTGATGTGCATAGATGCTGCATACTGGCGCTCATATGGAGGACAGCAATACAGACGCTCAAATAGGCTTTCCAATTGGAGGGTTGATACTAATAGTACTACAGTGGGGATATAAAGGGCTACTAGTA